TACCTAGTCTCCCAGCTGTCTTGTCCAAGAAGAGTAGATTCTTTGGTCCCTAAGGTAATAACTGATAACTGTGCTGACAATGACAGTGCTTTTGATTTTGTCAGGCATTAATACATATGCCATTAAAATCCAAAGCATAAGCTTAGCAAAAATTTCCTACGTGCATGGAAGCAGCCACCTCAACATTACCTTTTAATTTCAAATGGTTACCTGGGTTTATAATCTGGGTGTGAAATTTCGTCTGCTCTGGGCAGTGTTCAATATTTAACACTTCTTGAAATGATTAGTGCTTATTCCTGTTCAGATCAAGTTGTCCTAGCTAACTAACTCCTTTGTGGTTTGGAGATGTGAATTAACTTTAAACCTTTGAAATTTTCTCAATTTTCCTTTGCTTTACAGGAAAGTAGAAGCTCATGTTTTAGTTTTACCATAGGAAGCAAGTAGCAAAGTCAAAGGTGGGATTATGTGTATTCATTCAACACCAGATACATATTTATGATGGCCATTTTCCAGATTATTAATTTATTTCATAGGTTTATATTACATCTTTAGTACAGACAAAATGTTTTGGAGCCAGAGATGAATTATGCTAGCTTTAAAACTAGACAATATCTTTTAAACAGAAATATGCTTATCTCAAAACAAATCTTGGAATGTAATATAGAATATACTATGTCTATTTTCCATGGAAATAATGAAGTCCAGAGTTGACTCTTGGACATGAGACTCACATTCACTTTGCTCTTCTTCCTTCCCTTTCTTAGCCTCATCAGCACCCCCACATACCCTCATCTCCACTCTGGGACTGGTCTGGGACTCCACACCAGAGATCCCAAATATCATTACAGGCCGAGAACCCACTGAATGGGGGAACCGAGTCATACTTGAAATGAACTTCTTTAAAAATAAATATTAAAAGAGTACACTTCAAATTCTCTAATTTTTTCTCCTTCATTTCATCAAATATTTAATGTTTAGAATGCTAGCAGGTGTTGAAGGCATGGAATTTTGTGGGCTGATAAATATTTGTCAAGTATTTGGGTATTAATGTGTGTTAAAACCAACAAAACACGGGTATCTCATTTTTCAGCCCAGGTGGTTTTTTTTTTTTTTTTTTTTGCTTCCAATTTTTAGTCCACCAACACTGTTAAGACATAGAACCAAGCAAATTTACAGCAATTCTGACAGCTGGTTGTTAGACATTCATTTCACATGACACTTCTTTCAATAAGACTGTATCTCCCAAAACTTGACTCTTAGCATGTCTTTTATAAGAAAAATACTTCTTTTGTTCTGTTGGTATAGGTTAGCTTATAAAAGTAAAGTGTTATGTCTTTACATGCTTTTAAAGTATCTGGCTTTAAAAAATGACTTCTTTTCCAGCAGCGAGGCAAAATTCCTTAACTATTAACCTTTAATTCTTAAAACAATGTTAAAATAGCTTTAAAATAAGACACTGTGAAAAGATATAAAGCTAATCTTTTCCAAGTTAATATTCAAATCCTAAAGGGCCACATATTCCTGTATCATCCATTTATAAAAAATTGTGGCTATCAAATTTGATATAAAGACAAGATGCTTCATATCCTTTGTGTAAGGCACAGTATAAAATTAGAATATCATTTTCTTTCTTCTTCAATCTTCCCTATTTGTAATATTTCCCCCAAGCAGAGATGCTTGACAAATTGCCCCTTTTGCTCATATATGACCTTTTTTTTGGCATCAAATACATTTACTTTTGTAGGCTAAATATTCAGGATGAGAGTAGAAGAGATTTTTTAAAGCACCGATTTATAAAGAATTAAGATGCATCTTGAACAAATATATTTCATTGCCATCAATCTCATTCTAGCTATGCTCAAAAGCAGGCCATGCCTTTGCTTGTTTCCCTATATGATAATCTTATACTTTAATAGTGCTTTCAATATATAATGTATTCACTATCAGAGCCTTACAACAATCTTTGGAGGAAAAGAAGGGTAATTATGTCTGTATCTAAAAATAAAAATCTCACATGTATGTACATACACATTTGTATGTACGTGTAATATAGTACACGAATGTTTCTCCATGAGATGAGAAGGTGGAAATTGCTACACGGAAGTCTCGTAGGTTAGCTGGTAAGAGGAGGCAATGATGAAAGGAGAGAATTTCTGGCTTGTGGACCAAGCATTCCCCATTGCTCTGGTTTGAATAACGTTAGGACACTCTATTTTTTATATACATAGGAATTCAAAGTTGGTGCTGCTGATGTTGGTTAGCTTGGTGGAGGAGATTTACAGGCATAGAATAGAGGATCAGTCTTTAGAGATACGTTGATAAGGCTCAAGGATCAGCTAGGTGGTTGAATCAGCTATCTTTTAAGGTTTTCACAGCTCCCAGGCCTAGCAATTTGAGAGGTGATTGACAGGGAATTAAGAATAAAGTATGTAACCGTTCTCTTGCATAAAGCTGGTTTTATTGTTTCTTTTTTTTTTTTTTGGCTTAGCCATAGGAACAATGGCTTTCACAAGTTAGGCAATCAAAAAGTAAAATTCCAGGGTAAGGTATTTTAGGTATCAGTGGTAGAGTGATAATCTATCGCTTTGGGGCAGTTAATTATGAATTCAGTGTTAATGCTGGTGTGTTGCAGGGTGGAACAGATAATTCTGATGAGTTGTCTTATATACAATGTTTGAGCTAACTAAAGCAATCCAGAAGCAAATTCTGTACAGTGAAATTACCCTCTATTTTGTAAGATCATGCTAATATCAAGTAATATCTATATTATGTACAATTCCTACTTTAGATGCTTTGTCTTTAATATGATGCCGTTCAATGAGTATAGTAACTAATAATTAAAAATTGATTACAATATTGAGCAAGTAATAGTACATTCACTGTACAAAATCATAGGCTTATAATAGCACCAAGTAGACAAAAATTTTGCAAGGCCAAGGTGAGTCAGAGAGTAATCCTTTAGACTGACTAGAGAGGCAGAGTCAGGGGTCTCACACACCTCAGTTCTCACCTTGCTCCCAAAAGAAGTCAGGTGTAAGGCAGCATGTATAATGGAAATGAGGTGTTTATATATGAAATACACTTAAGCACAAAACCACAGGCAGGCACCCAGTAGTCCAAATGGCCCAGGTGTCAAGGACATAAAGTTGTTAATAAGTTTGAGCCCAAAGCTGCAAGTGGACACCTAGCTAATCTGAGTGCTTTGAACATCAGGGGTTAAGAGTTTTTATGCTTTAGCCGGTTTCTAGGTACCCCTCCTCCTCTCCCTTCCAGAACCTCGGGATTAATAGTTTCAAAGGCTGTCTTTCCCAACTAGTGTAAAGATACGTATAGAACTTCAAAGACTCCTCTCCTCCTGTGCTATCATAGTTTTGCTTGTGATGTTAGGAACACTTGGCAATCTTATTGGACCAGGTTTAGGTTTGCTGAGTTAATGGGTGAGACATATCTTCCTCCCCCTCCCTGCCTTGATTTACTATCTGTTTTACCCAATAAGACTAGAAATCTACTGCATTGTAATTTTTAGTTTCACTTTTGAAAATTTAAAAGTGACCTCGCTGAATAAAATCTCAATGCCTCCTAAAATAAATTTAGAAAGTTGTCCAGAATTTTTCGGCTCGCAAGCTGACGCTCAATTCACCGAGCTATACCAGCCAGGGTCAGAATTTATCCTAGACTAGTACCACTTACTTGGGACAGAACATAGGACAAGAGGCAACCTAGGCCACCTGTTTATTTGGGTTGTTGAACATATGGTCAGCATGCACACTGGAATGTGTTACAGGGATTGAGATAAAAGCCAAAATTTTTAATGGGTTTTAAGGGTTGACGGAGAAAACTACTTCTAGCACGTAAGGGAGAGCTTTGTCTTCAGTGGTCTCTTAAGTTCTTAGGAGGGCGCGGCAAACCCTGCCCTCTAGTGGCTGTGGATACGAGAGGACTTCGGTTCTACGTTTCCTGTGTCAGGCTTCCCAAGGTTTATTAAAAATCAACGTTCTCCAAAAATCACTTATTGGGAGTCTGGGTCAGGTGCTGAGTACGTAAAAGATTCAAGCGGCAAAAGAAATAGCCAGTGGTTGCAGGCAATGCCCATTGTTCAGCTTCTATCTCTGGACGCTGGGTTTATAAATTGTTCCAATCTCTGGGGTTCCTCACATTTTAAGTCAATGAAAAAGACTGAATCCTCCCGTAAGCTCTTTGAGGCTGAACTCTGCCCTCTATTACAGAGACAACGAAGCAGACCTCAAATCAGGATAGAAGTTTGGGAAGTCGCCCCGCGACGACCTGCTCCCGCAGTTAGAGCGAAGCAGCCCTAACAGGGTTCTGCAAAGTGAGGGTGCGAGGTCCCAGTAAACAGCACTAGTGCTTCTGACCACTCGCCCCTTCCCTAGGCCGTCCCCGAGTCACCTACTGAGACGGTAACCGCTACCCCAAAGGGAGGGATTTCCCCAGTCGCCTTGTGGAGGGCAAACACCTCGAGGACAGCGACCATGGCTGTGCCTGCCCGCCGGTCCCGACCCCGCGGTTGCCTCCTATGAGTGCGCGGCTGGAGCGGAGGAGCGGGCGGGTCTCCGACCCTAGTGCCCGGTGGGTACGTAGAAACGGGCAGACCATCCCCGCGGGCCCGCGAGCAGCTGCCACAGGGACCGCGTGCACTTCCACCAGACCACTGGGCACCCAACCAGAGCCCACTCAGGGATGGTGTCCAGGTCTTCACTTCCGCCGTCTCCGCCAAGGCCGGCGAGTGCGCGTGCGCGCGCGCCTCTCGCAGCGGAAGTAGTAGCGACAAAGCTCGGTCCGCTGTGGGCCCGGGAGTGCGGGGCGCGCCGGGGTGCCGGGCGGCTGGCGGCGGGGAGGGGCAGAGCGCAGGAGGCGGAGGCGGGAGCAGATCAGCTCCGCCGGGCTGAGCGGGCTGGGCCGACCGTGACGGGCCCCTCACCTCCTCTTTCCTTCCCCTCCCCGTCCGCCCGCTCTCTCTCCCTCCCGTCGTTATTTCCTCACGCCGGGATCGGGCTCTCGCCTTGCGCCTCCGATCGGCGAGCCGTTCCTCTTTGCCGGAGGCGCGCGGGGCGCCCCGGCGAGCCCCGCGGGTGAGTCTCCCGCTGCCCGGAGGATCTGGGGCTTTTGAGTGAACCACTATTACCCATTTCCAGAAACTTCCAGATCCTGAGGGACGGGGCGTCCGGGGATACCTTGGTTGGGTGGGGTGTCTTTGGGCGCCGCCCTGCCAGCTAGAGTTGGCGGTGATGCGGGCGACCGAGCGGGTGGGCGCGGGGTCGGGCGCGGGGTCTGGGGCTCCCTCCTCGCCCTCTCACTCGTCAGCGCCGCTTCTCCTGGTTTCTCTTGCAGATGCTGCTGCTTGGGGTGGTGGGAGCAGCCGTGGGACGCGTGGCCGGGAGCGGGGGTGACAGCCTGGGATTCCGGGGGCTTCTCTTCCTTGTCTTCCTCCTCTCTCTATTCCCAGTGTGGCCGAGGCTGACACTAAAGACTTTGTAGCCACCAACCAAGTGCAGTTTCAATGGAAAATGAAGGTAAAGGCCCCTGGCAGACGGGTTGCAACGCGGAGTTGAGGGTGTGGTGGTTTGCTCTTAAGTTGTCTTTCTTTCCTTTCCTTTTTATTTTCCTGACTTAATTTTTTTCGTTTAATTGTGAAGTGTCCATATAATTGCTTTCTTAGGATCTCTAGATTTTATTTTGGTAACATAGGGTATTTCGGAAAATAAGGTTCTGTGAGATGACTGAGCTTGATTCTGCTAACCTGACAAACCTTTTAGTTTAGAGAACGGCAGGGAAGTTTTCATTTCAGATTGCACCTATGCTTATCTTAGCCGCTATTTGAAAGTAATTACTAGAAAGACAGTGGAAATGGGGAGGGAAGAGAAAGGCTGCATCTCTGTATATTTGCATATCAAGCCTTGATACGGTATGTGACTGGGTTCGTTTATAAGAAAGAAAAGGTCTTTTTTTTAAAAAAAATGAAATGTAGCTTTTAGGAAAAACTAAACTTTTTTCAGTACATACACACGCAAGAAATTATGAATTAACGAAATACTATGAGGTAATTTCCTTTTGAAGTTCCTCCCCATTTTGAAACATCATTTAGGAGGTTGACAGTGGAACCTGTTTGTTCACTGTACACTTTGGACACAGTGGATTATCATTCACGTGTTACTTAATTACTTCGGCCTCATTTAAACGTTTAGCGCTTTTCATACACAGCACTGATTATTTTTTAAAAGCGTTGAAGACTCTGAAGAAATGATTTTTTTTACCTTCCTGAAACAACCACAGTTGTTCTTTGGACTGACTTCTGACTTGTGTGTGTTGTTACTGTTTTTTCTTCCTTCAGGTCTGCAAGATGCTATAAAAGATAATTACAAATTACAATTTGTCTTCTTGTATCTTTTGGTTTTAAAAATCTATACAGTATCTGGTAAAAAGTGCTGCAGTAGAGCTCACGAGCTGCTTTCTAATTTGTCTTTTCCTTGACAAGAATGTAAGGCTGATTGTCCTAAGTAGGACTAGTGATTTTAAAATAGATGTTTCTTATATGTAGTAATCTGTTTTCCCGTCTGAGACCCCTGGGTTATATGGGAAATTGCTGAGTTCTACTTTGGATGGATAATTGGTGGAAGACGTTTTCTGAGATACTAGTGTGTGTGACTGCAGAGGAATTACACTGTCTAATCCGGTCTTTAGAAATGGCATTTGAAAGCAGTGAGATTGTCTGGTGGTATGGAAGAATCACTTTTCTGAGGTCTTTTCCTCTTTCTCTTTTAGTTTCTAGATTTAAGAAAGGCAAGTCCTTTCTGCACAGGAGACAAAGAATATTAAGTGCATTCTTTCATATGACTGTTTCCTAGTAATTACATCTTAATATCTAAAACTTAAGCTGCTTTCAAAATGGTACAGATTGAAGAGAGTGGCCTAAAGTAGGTGGATTCTTAGATGTTGCATTTATTGCTTGATCTCTTAGGAAAAGGAGCGTGACTAATAAAGCTGACTCTCATATTATATGTCTATTGAGGTGGGAGGGAGTGGCTGTGAATGGGAGCGTGGTGTATCCGTGTGGCTGACTGGGCCTCTACTTTCTGGCCAAGTAAGAGTGATTTGGCCTCATAATAAAGATTATAAGATTTTCAAACACTTGTGGGAGTTTTCTGTCTAATAATCTCTTGATTATTTTTTGGCCATTTTTGTCAGTCTCATTACCATAACATTTTTCTCTTCACACTTAAACATTTTAAAGAAGAACTATGTAGTGTAGAAATTTTCAAAAGCAATTGACCATTTTGAAAGGTAAGTATTACTATCACTTACCTTTTTATATAGTTAGTGTCCTCATTTGACATGGTATATTAGCATCTTAGGGATGTGAAACAAAAATAGATTCAAATCATGCCTTTACCACCAGAAGTTGTGTGACTTCACCTTTCTGAATCTGTTTTCTTATCTAGTTTTTTTTTAGCCTCACCTGGGGACATTTTTTTCATTGCTTTGAGAGAGAGTGAGCTCGAGCAGAGAGAACAGACATTGATCTGAGAGAGAAACAGTGATTGGCTGTATAGTGATTGGCTTGTACAGTGATTGTACGAGCCCTGACCTGATATTGAACCTGCAACCTGCATATGTGCCCTGGCCAGGAATCGAATCCACGACCTTTCAGACTATGGGATGAAACTCCAACCAACTGAGGCACAGTGGCCAGGGCTGTTTTCTTATCTATAAATTGGGAATTATAATACTTGGCTTACATAGTTAAGAGGGTTAAATGAGAAACTATAAATTTCCTTTGGAGGAGAAGGAGGCTAGTGTTAAAGAACATGTGCTGTGGAGTCAGGCATCCTGATATGGATGCTGGATCCCCACTTAACATAATTTAGCCTTTTGTAAATTATTAAAGCTTTTTGTGCTTCAGTTTCTTCATCTATAAGATCAGGATATTGATCAAACCTACTTTTTGAGGTTTTTGTAAGCATCTATTAGTGTGGGGCATATATTAAGGCCTCAATAAATGTTAACTGTAAATAGCCTAGCCCACTGTTTGCATACTAATACACCACCAGTCATTAATGTTGCTGTTATGACAGCTGAATGCTAGTAGGGAAACAGTAGTGGCCAAAATGCTCTCCATGAAGTTGTCACTGTTAGTTAGGAACTGGGTGTAATTAAGTACAGAATTTTCTATAGTGCAGTGGCTTAAAGCCCATAGAGAAAGCTGGAGGTCTACCAAGGGGGCCGATGTAGAAAGAGACAGGCTTAGATTTGATTCCTGACAAGTTATTTTTTTCTATCCTAAAAATGTGATGAGTTACCAAGCTTCTGAGCTTTCTCAGCTTCTATTGGTTTTCCGTCTGTAAAGGGAATACTGCCCTCTGGGAGGGTTGGTGTGAGTAATAAATGAAGCCTGGTATTCGAGGTGCCCAAAACATGGTTGGCACACAGAACGCGTGCGTGAGTGAGTGCTGTTGTTCCTCAGAAGCAGAATCCTCCAGTAGGTTTGTAGGTAAGTCACACTCTGGTTAGGTAGAATTGATAGTGGCTCCCAGGAGCATGAAAGTTCTTAGGTAATTTGCCATGTCTGTGTTGCTGGAGGGAATGGCATTTATGTGGATCCTTTTTTCACATAAATTTTCTCTGGCACTTCCGTTTTGGATCTTCTGGACCTCTTTCCCATGACTTGATCAGCAAAGGTTGACAGATTTTTAGCCTTAGCCTCCAGGATGCTTCATGAATATAGTACTTCCTGCCAGTCCCTGGAAGCATTTGAAGTGTTAATTTCCTGGAATTCTGGGACTGGTCCTAGACATCCCTTTGTGGGTTAGGATTTTATCCACATCCTTTGGAACTCCTTTTTGCATGTTTATCATGAATATAAACAGATACCACTTAGGAATCTGAGGTATTCAAGCAAAGGCCATTTTTTTTCCTGATAAAAAAGTTGTGTGTAAAAGGATGGCTTATTAGAAAAAATATTTTTAGCTGGATAATTTTGCAAATAGTTTCTCTCTTCTGGTAATGGACTTTTCTGTTGGAATAAATTGGTCTCTCCCATAGAAAGACCAGTATAAAATTAATATACATGCAACTAATAATAGCCATTAATGTTTCTCTTACTAATGGGTAAATATGTAATGATCTTCAAGATTTCAGGACATGCTTGATTTAAGGTTATAGGCAGAGCTAATAGGTCTAGAATAAATTCCCCCAATTTCTTTGGCCAGCATTTAAAAATGATAGTATGTTTATTTATACTTTACTTTTTAAAATAGTTACTGAATTCAAATTAAAATTATTAATAATTTAGGAATGTCTCAGGAATGTGTTAGGGTAGTTGGAAGAAGTATAAGGAAAAAACTGGATGAGAAACCATCTTAATTGTATTTCTTCAAGTAGGAATAGGAAACCAGGTTATGACAGTATTTTATATTTTTAGGTATGGAAAAATGTAATTGTATTTATTTGCCGTTTGTCAGCAAAATAGTATTCTTAATCACGTTCTAGGAAAGTTGAAATCAAAAGATTGTATGTGGCAGCATTGTATAAATGTAGTAATTAAACACAAAGGAAGGATGCTGCAGAGATTATTTGTGTGCAGTAGCCTTCTGACTATTGAATTCAAAATACTTGGTCTGCCTTAATGTTTTTATCCTCCATTTAATGTCAGCAAAATTCCATTCTATTAACTGAAGCAGTATCAATCAAAATGGTCTCTTAGGGAACACACCCCTTGGGGCTCAAGGCTGATTTTCTTTTGAGATCTTGGTTAACTACAATCTGTTTGACAAGGTTAAATTTTGCCTTAAAACTTGAAAGAACAGCATAGTTTTATGGTAAAATTATTTCAGGTGAATTTTAAATTACACTGTGGTTACATATAACAGCTTGTAGATCTTTTAAGGGTTGGTTTAGGGGGTCCACTTGTATTTACTTTGTTAAAAGGCAAATTTTCTTAATGAAGATTTCAGACATCAGTTTTGACAACATAATCTTTACCATTTTCATACAGACAACTGTTGGTGAAAGGCAATAAAGTAAAATTTGGTTGGGTGAGTTTAGATTAGTGCTGTTATTTCCTACAGGAAATTATTTCTTGGGAAAAATATATGTCAGGCTAAATTGATGCATTTCCTTTTGAATTTATATGGCTGATATTTATGTGTATTTGTTCATGTCTTCCATCTTCAGGGCTTTCTTTATGTGACTGTTGACAAGGGCATACATTGTAGAATTACAAGGAAATTACTCAGATTGTGTTGAATTAGATTCATTTAGGCTAGGCTTATTTGATATATGTATTTAGAAAAAAATTGAGTGAAATGTTACAAGGCTTCCTTAAGTTGTAAACAGAGAAGGACAGTAATAACAGGGGTCAAAAGCATCACCTTTAAATTGCTGTAATTGGGCATCAAATTCAAGGTATATTTCTGCTTCAGATATTAGAATATGTGAGTTGCAGTTATTTAATATAATGGAATTATTTAATACCTTAATCTATCAGATGTTAAAGAATGTGCGAATTGGAATTGTG